GAGGAGTAGATTGCTTGGCCAAAGTGGCTACGCGAGTCGGGTTCGAACAAGCCTGACTTTACTGGATAGTAGGATCGTTTTAATAGCCGGTACATATGATAATGCGATGAGTAATACCTCATCCCCGAAGAGCGGCCGTGATCAGTGAGGTACCCGGCGGGTAGAGGTCGACGCAGGCGGCAGCATTTCGCCACGTCGTATCGCCAGTCTACTCGAGCTTTCCCGGTCTCGGAGTGCATGCAGCAAAATGTGTATGAGGCACAGTAGTTCCGGAGATCAAGTCTAGTCGGTGATGAATTGCGGCGCAGTTGAGACATTGCCCCACCGCGGGCGGCACGTGGCCGGAACGCGATCACAAAGCGGCTCTCTCATTGTGTCACAGTCAACGACAAGGCATATTGTTGCTGTCGATGTTACCTTGGTATTACATGGCCAATGTATTCGAGCGCTCTAACGAAGAGCTGAAATCTGAAGACCGTACCAAACCATGCCCAGTCTGCCTCGCCACGCACTTGCAGCGCAGGGCATTCGGCCCCTGCATTGCATCGCAGGACATCTGCATGAACTATCGGATCGCGCGAAGAAGAGGCAGGAGCGGGCAGATGGATCAGTTCTCAGTGGACTATGTGGAGTTCATACGAGGATAGTCTCTGCGCACGTCAGCCGGGCGACATCCGCAAGCGCCTGGGGGCCAGGCATCTTGCTTCCCACATTGTCGTTATTGGATATGTTTTGGGGGTATATGGGCTTTCGATACTTCCGCCGGTAGTAGCTTGGATTGAGGGTGCGCGATGGAGCGTGGTGTCGAGCTTGGTATCCTAGGTCGCTATAAGTATGTGAAAGCGTTGCGATAAGTCCTAAATTATCTTCATCTATCTCATCTTCCAGGCATTACTACCCCTCTTCTTGTCTTTCAAGATGCGGTTCTTCATCCGTGCTGTTTCTCTTGCCGTAGCTGCGACATCGTTTCTTGCTCATGCGGCACCTCTTTCAACTCGCTCAACCGAGGATTCGATCGCGGGCCGATACATCGTACAGCTCAAGCCGGACGTGGACGTCGCAACATTTACCGCTCACCGCGAGAAGGTCCGCAGTATAGTTGCTCGCCATCTCGGACGACGAGATGACGTCGACCTGAACGCCGGGATCGATCAGGAGTACAACTTCGGAGACTTCAAGGGCTATGCCGGGGCATTTGATCCAGCCGTTGTTACCGAATTGGAGGCATTAGAAGATGTTTTCCTCGTCGAGAAAGACTTCCTAATGTATCCCACGGCTCTCGTAACGCGTACGTATAAACATCCTCGAGCCCACATCGACATTAGGTGTCCCACTTTGTCGTGTGCAGACCTGTTCGGTGTTTTCTTCTTGTATGAGGTATGTGTCGCTAACACTGAGTAGAAACCAACGCACCATGGGGTCTTGCAAGCGTATCCTCCAGGACCAGAGGAGCTACCAGCTATATATACGATTCGACAGCTGGTAGCGGCACCTACTCGTATGTACTAGACAGTGGAATCCGAACGACCCATGTCGAGTTCGAAGGCCGCGCTTCCTGGGGATACAACGCAGCCAACACCAACAATGCCGATGTCACCGGCCATGGCACCCACGTAGCTGGTGTGATTGGTTCGAAGACCTACGGCGTTGCCAAGAACACGACTCTCATTGCGGTCAAGGTAATAGGCGATGATAACGTCGCAGCTGGCTCCAGCGTGCTGGCCGGCTTGAACTGGGTGACAAACGATATCGTTACCAAGAGCCGACTGGGTTCAGCCGTGGTGAACTTATCGCTCGGTGGGCCAGCCTCCTCATCCATGGATAACGCTGTCAACGCACTGGCGAACCGAGGTATACTGCCTGTCGTCGCTGCAGGAAACGACAACCAGCCGGCCGCAAACGTCTCGCCAGCTCGTGCTGCCAACGCTCTGTGCGTAGGAAGCGTTCAATCAAACGACGCTCGTTCTTCGACATCGAATTACGGGTCGGCCGTAGACATCTGGGCTCCGGGTGGTGATATCATTTCTACCTGGCACACCTCAAATACGGCAACAATGACAGCAAGTGGTACCTCGGCGTCTGCACCTTTCGTGGCTGGTCTGGTGTCGTATCTGCGCGGTCTCGAAGGGCAATCGATCGGTCCGGCCGCGAGGGCAAGAGTCTTGTCATTGGCTACTGTAAGTGACTCTGGACCGACTGCATGTGAGACGTACACTGACATTGCAAACCTAAACTTAGCCAAATCGCCTTACAGATGTAGCAGGCGCACCAAACCTATTGGCTTACAATGGAAGAGCTTGAAGGCGATGGTCGCGATCGGCTCGTAATTTATCCTTGTATAGCATTACAGCGTATATTCATCTCAATCCATCTTCGACGTTACAGCAGTGATAAAGAGCTGTGTTCCAGGTGCCTAAGACGTGATACGAGGGTCGGCGCGAAGTGTATCCTGGTCCACAGGTGTTGCGACACACGTTCTTAACGGAGCTTTGAAAGAGCTTGAGGTGTCTCATAATTGAGGAGCTGATCACCGAGATCCATGAAAGCAACACAAGTATCTGCTCGGATTAGTTGAACTCGAGTCGCGTCCGACGACGAAAAGTGTCGGACAGTGTTCTGACGGAAGGAGAACATGCCATCCGGAATAGGCTAAGAATGACTTAGTCATCTGGTGAGTGGGGCCCTTCAGGGGTTCGCGATTACGATGACGTAGAACACCCTTCTGTTCACCCCAACCTCACCACAATTTCCACAGCATGCTACCTACACCTCTCCAGAATGCCGTTAATGCGCTCCGGAGCCCGAACTACAATCCTGGATATGGTGAGGCGCTGGCAGCTTCGCACGTAGCATGGACTTCACTTGATCATCATCAACAGTTGTTGCAATCGCGTCTTCCAACGCAGTTGCTTCATTAACAGCAGGCACCTTGATCTCTACGAAGCTGAAGTACCTGCTTTCCGGTCGCATTGCGGCCTTAGCAGTCTATCAGAAATTCTCATTGCCCTGGAAGCAGCACGGGAGTCTCAAGATGCATGGGCGGGTAAGAGATAACCGTCTGAAGTTGACAATGGTCTACAGGAGCCTACGAATATGCTTCACTTGCTGGAAGCGGCAGTCGCGTCTCGCTTGGCACCATTGCTCAGATAGATCCTTCCGACAACCACTACCCGAGAGCTTCAAAGCAACTGCGACCCTACCGCCTACTCGGGACCTGTGGCACGCGATGTGTATACATTCGAGACCACATTCACGGCGATCGGCCAGCCATCAACCCTATCGTTGCCTCTAGCCTACGGCCTATCGCGATGGTCATCGTGTTGCTTCCGAGTTGCGGATTAAGAGGGCTGGTCAAATCCTTGCTCTCACCTCAGGTCACGACAAGCGATTACGCCGAAACTTCGGCTCCACGATACGTCTGCGCGCGCAAGAAACACCAAAGTGGAAGAAAGGGACGAACATGCGTTTACCGAGTCAGCGGCGAGCGTACAGGCAACGGCGGACGCAAAGTCAGGCTATACACGAATGTGGAAGGTGTCGATCTCGACGACGACGAGCGGCGGAGTTTCGCTGGCATTCAACACACTATGCGCTACACCAAGGGCCGCAGCCCAAGGCCGGAGAAATGTCACTCCTCTCGGATACCACGCTCTGTGGGCAAAGAGCGGCTGAAGGCCAAGAGGTTGGCTGGCAAGGCTCACGATGCAAGCGATGAGGGCTCTGATAGTCGTGCTGAAGGCAATGGGATTATGCCCTCACGAACCCGACTCTTGAGTGCAAGCTCGGACGAAGTGTGGGACGTGCCCAGACATCTCAGATTTGGAGAAAATGGGAAGCATATATTCTGCAAGTCGCACAATGGCTCACGCAGCAGGACACGCGATATCGATCCCCGTGAAAACCCACAAATCCACAGACGAAAAGAAGCAGGCCGCTTTGGTGAGCCGACGTCGCAAGCCGAGGGACGCGTTCGAAGACCTCGAGACGATTATTGCTCAGGCGCGCTACCGGTCCCAGAGCATCGGTCAAATACACCATCCCTGGAGTCAGCACCGATACTTTCATCACGAAGATCTCGAACAGCCGCAGCGAACAATACCATCAAACTTGTCATCAATTCCGAAAAATATACATCCAAATTGCAAGACCATGTGTCACGCGACGGACAGCAGAACGCATTCGGGATATCAGAGGCGCCTGGAAGCCCATTCAGGCAACCCGGGCTGACGCCACAGGAGTCTTTCGACTTAGTCTTCGGGGCAAGCTCTCAAGTCGAAACGCGGAGACGGCTGCAAGCGGGTCGGGCAGACGATCATATTGCGCCAGACGTGCATGAGTCCGCATCCCAGCTCGCACGCGATCCTTCACTAGGCAAAATACAGCAAAAGACGGACGCATACAGCCTGGCTCAAAACCCATCTGCATTAGACTTCGGACACTCTGTACTCAAGCATGATGAACATGAGATTCTTACAAGATCGCGAGCACCTGCTCTCATCAGTCCTTCAAGAACAGCGTTGTCAACACGCGGCGCCACGCGGGCAACAATGCCACGGTTTCTTCCAGAACAATCCCTACAACAAGTCACTTCAGGTATACCTGGACTAGTTCATGTTCAGGCCGGTGTACCGTCTGATCGGTACCCATTAAGTGTCACCCCAGGAACCCCACCATATACGCCCGGAAAGGCGACATGATTCGGAAATGATACAGCAGCGTGGTATGGCATACGACGGTCAGTCCGGTTATCAATGCAAGTGTCTGAAACAGGAACTCTGAATGGAAAACAACAATTGGGGTATTATTAAACGCCGTTTACCGAAGGCAAGATATTAGCCAATCCAATTAATCCACGTCCTCGATCAAATCATCAAATCCGCTGTTCATTACGGGTATTGCCTCATTTCCTCCGTCCAACAGATCACTTCCGCTATGTTGGCTGATATCGTCGTCCAAATCCTGATATTCCTACTTAGCATCAGTTTCGGTGTCGACAACGTTCACGTCTCCTGTGCGACCGGGGTTACGATGATCTTCGCCCCCATGACGGCCGGGGAGTCCGCGTCCTCGATGTCGGGATAGATGTTATTTACCAGAAATTGTCCGACCTGCCATGACTACGACTTTGTTAGCTATCAGCACTCTCATTTGACTGGAGACACGCGACGTACCAGAAGCCCGCCCTCCACATAGTGTCTCCACCTCTCTGAAGACCCCAGGTATACCAAGATTTCCCATGGCAGTTCCTCGCTATCGAACTCCCAGAACGTCATGTACTGGTACACTGACGCCTTTTCTACTTGTTTGTATTTCTCGTCCTGGATGAGCGAAGCGTGCTCGAGCTTGAAGATGCGCGTGCGAAGCAGTCCAGGACTCTCGAGCATACCGGGCGTAAACTCTTCTCCGAACCACTTTACGAATTCGTCGTGAACCTCCGGAGCGGGCTGCCAAAGGACTACGACCCACATTTGGACATCGCGGGGATCTGATGCAGGGTGTTAGCTTTCATGGTGCATCCTTGTATCGTGATCTTGAGGATGATATACCTCCGCGCCACTCCTCTCCAAACCAGTTCTTATGCTCTGTGTAGAACCGTGTGTCCACCTTCGCCTCATTCGGAAGTTTGTCCAGCGCAGGGCATATCCGCGCATCCAGGTCTTGCGCGCTTGGTTGTTTTGGTAGGTCGTAAATGGTCATGAACCTGCCATCAATCCCAGGTACTTCCTGGAATGGGCTGTCTTCCACTTGCTCTGCATGTCTGGCGGTGGACCTGATCTTCACCAGGGCGTCGGGTATATGCGTGGTTTCGTACCAGTGATAGGCATCGTTAGCATCCTCGCCTAACTCCGCCCAGGCACAAGCAATTCTTGACATGATTTCTTTTTGCGAGAGTTGGTAATTCGGTTCCGCGGACGTGGTCAAGAAGGATGAATGCAGAAAGGTAGGTGAGACTTGACAGAGCAAGAGAGCAAGGTAACACAGCGGTCAGCATAAGGAGTACGCGCAAACAGAGCACACCTGGACTGTGCCACGAAAGTTTTGCCCTGCATCCCTGAACCATGTGCTCTTCAGCAAGGGTTACTCCGTCGGGGCAAGTAAAGCTGTAAGAATTTCCCCAATCAGTATGGTGTCGTGGCGGCCCGTATCCGCCTGACTGCGGCCATGAGGGTGTGTCCGCAGTACCGCCGGGGAAGTTCGCATTGCCGAAAGCTAATTTCGCGACTACTGCCAATAGTCACGATCAGTGTAGTTCGCGAGCTGATCTCAATCAATGCGAGGCAGACTACAACTTTAAAATGATGATGCGCTGGTATCAGTCGGAGGCAGAGGTAGGTCGAGTCATGTGAATCACCGATGCGCCGGGAGACGGACATGGGTGATACGCAGGAAGACCGAACGGGTGATCACACGTCCGAAAGGAGAAGCGCGCAGACAGGAATCAGGTAAGTTAGCCAGCTGATTAGCATGTATTGGCTCGCTAAAAGTAGATAATGCTTTCGATTTGAGCGGTGCAGGATCGCTTAGACAGCATGAACGCCACGTAGTAAACAAGACATGGCAAGACTGCGCCGTAACCCGAAACCTCCTCGTGCTTATCTCCCACGTGGCGCCCCAGACTGTGCGACATATGACGCAAGTGTTCGCAGCTTTTACATAGCGTTTCTCTCTTCCAACGGAATCATCTTCCCTTCCAATAAGGCTTTCCTGACGCGCACACTCCCATCTCTTCCTTTACAACAAGATACCGTCCCCAATGTCGATGTGCATCTTCTTCTCATGCACATCTCTCTTGTCCCTCCGTGGAAAACCGCGAACTGCCCGTTCACAGCCCAGGGCGCGGCATTGAAAACGACGGTCGTCCAGATGGGATCCTCGGTAGTGGCGTCGGAGATCCGGCATCCGTGAGTACTTCTTGTTGCAGCCGGTGTGTGTGCAGATGTAGACTCTCTTGGTCTCGACCCGAAAGGGGATGTCGCTAGCGTTTCCGGTAGGTGTCATTCTGATACGCATTCCCGTGTGGCTTGCCTTTTCACGAGCTGCCACGATGTTCCTGGATCCAGAAGATGTGGCATTTGAATTCGGATTAGCGCCGTGTAGCATGACCGGCTCCATTTCCTTGTTATCGTTAACATCCGGAAGGAGTCTGCATCCGTTAGATGCATCATCGGTCGATCCCCAGAGGCTGAAGGGTACACTGTAATCTCCTGGTTCGTTTCCAGCGTCTGTAACGGCCCCGCCTAGCCATACTACAGGGCCTCGGAAGGCCTCTTCTCCGTGAGCAACAGTATGATGCCACGGAAGATATGATCTGTATAATCTAGATAGGGGCATGATTATGACATGGGCTCATAGGCAGAAGTAATAATACATGCTAGGCGGATACAAGTTCGCAGCGGTGGGGGGAGACAATGAAAGTGCATGCAAGGGCATGCGTGGCATCCCTAAGTCTCGGCTGGACTTGGTAGTATATGTTAGCGAGGATTTACAGCGTCGAAAGTGTTACATGACAAAGCCCTCAAGGCAAGATATATAGGAAAGACTAAGGAGATTCTTTGGTTGAGTAGAAGGCCAAAAGAGTCAAAGAGACATGCCCCCACCCATATCTGTCAGTCTGTACAACAAGAGGGGTGGGGCTCAGAACGACATACGATGCAGATATTTGGTCAATGTCCAGAGTCGCTATGCAGTGGTTGAGCGAACTGGTAGTCGCTGCGATGTGTTCTGACATCGCTCCATGGTCTACCGTCTGATCCCGCAGTTCCGAAGACGCCGTGAGCGAGTCGTTGTCGAATTGTTCAGGGTGTATGTCTGAGTGAAGCTCGTATTCGAGTAGATTGACCGTTGAGACATCTCGATCGAATGGTATCTCGTTAGGGTAAGGGTGGAATGACATGTCGAAGTGATGATGGCGTCTTGGAGGAACAGAGAATAGCAGATTGACGGAACGAAAAGCGCAAAGATGAAGGAGGGGAGTACATATATACTACCGGGTGCGGTGATGCATCAGCTGCGTTGCCCTTCGATGCACACGCCCCTCCGGCTGAGGGGCGCCACGCCACGTAGACATCAAAGCCACCTACTTCCGCAGCCTCATTCTGCGTCAGCTTTGCACACATGTATGATCCTCTTGGGGATCACAATGGACCGCAACAAGCAGTTCTTTTGCGCTGCACCGCTCGCGTGATGCAGTCGACTCAGTCGCAGTGGCCCCAGGGATGGCTAGAACTCGTGTCGCAGTCTTGGAAACAAATCAAAGATAGAGGTGTGCATTTTCTGACCAGCTACATACCAGCTACTTACTTGTCAAGATCTGGGTGTATGTATGCGACACGACTTATAGCCAGCAAGTACTGTCTGGGATGTCGCAATCATGGAGTGGGGCGGCGCAGTTTAGCCCCGCCGAAGGCAGCAGCGCCTGGCACCATCTCCCCGTCTTCATCACATCCACTCCAACCACACATCAACGTCGGCCGGCTTGTGCCCTCACCCCACGCCCCAATGCTAACACGAATTCGTATGTCACTATATACTAAATCACGTATCTAGGGGATTTTTCTAGGGCTTCCCAGCAAGCTTGCTTACTAGGTAGAACTCGTGGACCTGTGCCGTACACTTCTCTCCGCGGCGACGCTGGAGCCACGAATCGCCACAGGTACATCAAGGGGCGCGTCTTTCAGGACCCTACGGAGTAAGGCCCGTGTCAGCAACCTCTTCACCGCGGAACAACTCACCTACGATGCGTCGTCGTCAACTTATGTAGTACATTCAGTCGCGCTTCGATACTCAAAGTCCACGTTTGTTCCTTGGTCCGAGTAGGTTAGACTCTAGTCTTTGACAGGCATTTTTGAACATTCGAAGTCACTTCGTCGTCGTGGTCCAGCATATGTACGCGCTTGCTTCTAACGCGCGTCTCGACCTAGCGCGCATTATCATCCGATGCGCAACCTCCAACACCGGTAGGCAATACCTTCTATATTCGTTCTGTTCTATCAATTTGTTTTTCGGCCGAACTTGGCAGTTCAATGAATCTTCCGAAAATCTTGTAGTAAGCATCACGCGCGACCACCAATCAGTTCACCACGGTACCTGCCCAGAACGAGTGATGGCTTTCACGATTGCCCTATCGAACTGACCCTTTGCCTTCGACTCACGCCTGACCCATTGTGTCGGGAACAAGGATGCTAGTGAACTACATTTCCTTTGTTCCACAATGTTGGAATTGGTGGAGAAGCGGGAAAGACCAAGGGCGCTCCTTAAACTAACAGCGGCGACAAGTTGGTGACGCGCGCAATTCACGCATTTTCACGGTAGTTTACCACTATCTGAAGTCCTATAAGATCAAAGTCTACAGTATGGAATTCCGTACCTCATCTGTTGTTCATCGGATCGAATCACAACGATGTTGCGCAACACTCTTTCAACAGCGGCCGCCCTAGCGGCCTGTGTGGCTACCGCTCAGGCTTCTTTGAATATGTCTGATTCATCTTTCAAGCTTTTCAAGTCTTCGTTGAGTCAGCTTGCGGAAGTCTACTTGCCAGGCTCAGAAGAATTTGCCAATGCCACTGTACGATGGGGCGCCGGGCAGACTCCGCACTACGATATGATCGTGAAGGTTGCGACGGAAGAAGATGTTCAGGAGACGGTCAGTAGACTCCTACTTTGATAAACTTTTTCTTTAGCTAACCTCAAGCCAGATCCTGTATGCCAATGCCAACGATAAGCCCTTCCACGCCATCTCGGGCGCTCATGCGACGACGACATACCTCAACAACATCACAAACGCCGTCGGAATCTTCATGCGGGGTATGAACAATATCTTCATCGTCGACGATGGCGATACTGCTTTAATTGAGGGCGGTATCCTCAACGGCGACGTCATCGACTTCCTCGGGCTCCATGACAAGCAAACAATGACAACGGCTTGTGCCTGCGTCGGCTACGTCTCCCCCATCCTCGGAGGAGGCCATGGCTGGAACCAAGGACGTTACGGCCTAGCATCCGATCAGCTCGTTTCCGCGCGTATGGTCCTAGCCAACGGTACCGCCATCACCGTCAACGAGAGCAGCCCAGACCTGTTCTGGGCGATACGTGGCGCTGGTCACAACTTTGGTCTAGTGACCCAGGCTGAGATCAAGATCTATGACAAGAAGCCAGTTGTGGATGGATGGGCTGTCAGCGGCTACTTCTTCACGCACGACAAGATGGAAGACGTTGTCGCAGTCGCGAATACCTGGATGACAGCTGCTAACAGGTCGGTGAGCTTGGAACACTACGTCGTTTTCTCGTTCGATCCCGAGGTGGACCCAGTGAACGTAAGTATAAATCCCATCTAGTACTACCCAATTACTAACATCACCAGCCCATCGTCATCATCTGGGTAATCTACCAAGGTGCCGATACTGTCCCAGCCCAATACACCGACCCCTTCGTCGCGATGTCCCCCATCAACACCGAATCGGGCATAACCGACCTCGGCGGCGTCAGCAGATTCACCGGCGCCGACAGCGACGGCCCCTCCTGCACCAAAGGCTACACGCGCTCCCTCGTCCCCGTCTCAGCAGACACATACGACGCACCTTCCCTACGCGAAGTTATCGACATCATGACCACCTTCCCAGCCGAGTTCCGCAACTCCGCAGTCCTCCTCGAAAGCTACTCCACCAACCGCGTTGGCGAGATCCCGAGCGACAGCACCG